TTGGAAAAGGTATATTTTATTGGGCTCGTGAATTTCGGAATTTTTACAACCTCATCGGACCCTTCCTTTGGCCTTTTACTATATGGAAATGATCTGAAAAAGCACAAAGAAAAGACTGACCCAATCTGTTTCTCTGGAATGTTTCAAGATATGACATTAAGAGTCCTATATATTGGAAAAATTGACTCTTGTGAGTTTTAAGACATGCCTGGAGTTGTGTTTTGTTTTGTTCTTGCATGTCTAAATATCGTATTTTTTGGGCTATAAAGCGCACTGGATTATAAAGCACACTAAGCGAAACAAACAGACGACACAAGGCTGATCCCTTAGGCTACGTTCAGACTGCAGGGCTTAATGCTCAATTTGGATCGTTCACATTTCCAATTAAATGTGACTTGTATGTGACTCCAGTGTGAACATTAAACGGCCCGAAAGTGTCCCACATGCACACTGGAGGACATGACAACGTCAACAGCAGCGAGCGTGCTCTGTGTTTAAGGAAGTTGTCCAAACATGGACGCAGCATTGAGCACCTGGAGATTTTAAAATTCCTTTTGTATCGGAGCCAGAACATGAACAACTTACTTGTTGTAAGGAGGAGATTGAGAAGGAGAAGGATGAGGTTTTTGGTCGTGGTGTTTTGTGGGACAGTCCGTTGAAAGGAACGTGTGGATGTGGAGACGGAGCCAAGAGTGGTGAGTGGTGATGTGCTTCGCTTCAGTGACACGGAGTTCATTAACAATTTTCGTATGACGAGAACTTTTGTATACATTTGTGGCTTGTTGATAACATGTAGGTCGGATGAATGCGCCTTGGCCATTCAGACTGAAGTCGCATGTCAAAAGATCGGAAATGTATCGGTTTTAGGAGCACATATCCAAGTGGCCTGGGTCGCATTTGAAAAAAATCGGATCTGTGTCGTTCAGACTGTCATTAAAAGATCAGATACAGGAACATAGGGGCCAAAAAATTGGATTTGGGTCACTTTGGGCTGCAGTCTGAACATAGCCTTAGCCCAGACATCCACGATCCATTAACAGATTGTGGTGTAACTCATCCGGCGTTACCTCCTTGTCTTGGTGAATGTGTATTATGAATGTGAATGTTTTTTTTTTTTTTTTGTGTGTGTGTGTGTTTTCCATCTGACAGAAGAACTATGATATTAAACAGTTTTATCTTACATTTAATCAATTACAGGTGGTTTTATAGCTCAAAAATATCAAGAAAAACAGGCATTCTGACTGAGGCAAGTTAGTCTGGTTTAGTCTCCATAATGATAGAAATGTTTCATGCCATACTGCAAAACATTTCAGCAAAAACATGGAGAAAAACAGCTGGTAGATCTTCTACTGGAAAAGTTACATCTTTAAAAATGTATAAATGAAACAAAACACAACTCCAGGTCTGTTTGTGGTGATGAAACATTATAAAATAGATCAGGAAATAACATAAAACAGACCTTTTTAATATATGTGTATTTATATTTTCCTGATCTTTTACTAAAACCCTTTGCTTAACTTGACAGTGGCTGCACAAATGAACAGTTTTGGTGTTTACTGGAGTGGCTGCCAATATTGACACACTGTTGTATGAACTAGGGGGATTTGTTAGCGAGCGCAGTCAACAGGAAAAGATGGATTTAGGTGAGCTTGTGCGCAATAATCCATCTGCTGTGTGGTAATTGCAAACCATGTCAAAACCCGGAAACACATGTCGCTAATAAATGCTCAGACTCAAAATATTTAACATTTGTTCTTCAAAAACTCATCTGAAAAAACACAAGCTGAGATCGAAGTGACATGTTGTGAGCTTGTCGTAATTCTAAAGTATTGATTAGGGATGTAACAATATCCAAATCTCTCTATATGATATTATCACAATATGCATCTCATGGTACGATATTTACTGCGATATTTTGGAGAGGCTGATATAATTGTAGATAGGACACTTTTTTGCTTTTAAAATGCCTTGACAAGATTTTGAGAAGAAGAATTCACGTAAAAATCATATTTCTTCATGTTGTCTGTGCTGAAATGAATCATGGGATATATAGTTCCTGATGTTTATAAGCTGTTACTACTACTATATATCAATATATTGTCAAGTGTTTAATTAAGGAATACAGGGTTGTAGTAGTCGTAGTAGTCGTAGTAGTGCAAAATCTGTCTTTTAATTAATATACTTCAATTATAAAATGTATTATTAATCTTAAATATAATTTATTTTTATACAATTTTAAATGACTAATTATATGAAATAAATGTAATATTATTTTAAGACAAATTTTTATTGTTTTTAATTGCTAAATAAAATGTATTTTTCATATTAGTGCTACTTTAACTTAGTACATTTTACACCATTTACCTTAAATCTGATTATATTTAAACTATCAAATGCCAATTATCAATCAAATGATTCAATTATTCAGCTTTATTTAACATTTTAAGAACTTAAATTTAATTGACTTTTTAATCTATGTTTTAACTTAAATTGGGGAATTTCCTAAAATAAATCAGCCAGTTACATTTAAATCTAACTAAGGCTTCTCATTATACTGACTTAAATTAAACAGAATATTCATTTTACATATAAATTAAGACATTATTTTTACATGAGTTTTAACACCATTTTAATGCTTTAACTAAACTTAAAACTAATTTTGCAGGTAAAGTTACTCATCGTTGTCTCTGTGTTTTCCCTTCACATTCCTGGTTTGGTTTGTTTTGTGTCTGTTCACCTGGGCCTAATGAAATGAGTTCAGAGACACATCAGCTCACCTGGATTTTCTGCTGCCATCTACTGGCCACACTAACAATAAACTAATAAACTAATAAAAAAGGAGAGGAGAAGTGAATGGGCTCGAGAGGAGGTGAAGACTTGGAGCAGTGGGGCTGGGCTTTTTGACTTGACATACTGTATATTGTAACGGCTCTCGATATTATTGTGAGACTTCTGACGATACGTCAGTTATTGTAACATCCCTAGTATTGATACTTTGCAGCTGCTGTTAAGAACATCCTCTTGGGGTGTGATGCTAACTGTAAGCACTGCTCTGTCTGACCCAGAATTTACACCCGGAGCTTCAAGGCAGAGCTGCATACACGTGTACTTTTAAAAGCATCAATTTACACCAGAGACAACGGTGTGCTCCTGTGACGCCAACCTCAGTATTCTCATGTTTAAACACTAAACTCCTTTATATTTCTTACATATTCATTGTTGATTGGATGAATTACGTGTTAATTAAATCACAGTATAAAAGAGATAATGATTTGCAGCGATAACAAGCCGGATCTGCGGTGCTCGCATTAATTACACTTCTGTAGTGTGCGCCATGCATCTTTTCCTTCTGAAGATTATATTTGTCCTCCACGGCTTTAAACTTTCCGTAGTCCATCATGAGTCATTCCCCGAGCTCCTGATGTGACGCACGGTGTTTACTCGACTGTAGTGGTTGCACAGAGCGTAGTTTGAAACGGCATTGGAAGTTTATTGCTTATTTCCTGCCTTGCCACAGTTAAAAATCCTGGAGACGCTCTGCTGATGAAAAATTAGAACTCCACGTGTGCTGCTCTTACACGCTTTTACTGCTTTGGTGTAAATTGGAGGTGAGGCTTGTTCGACTTTAATCGGAGCTTTATTTGAACACAATCTGACCTCAAAGAACTGATTCAGCTGGAACTACAAGTGAGCTCATTTGTGCTGTTAAACAAGTCTCTCACACATAAAATTACACTTATAGCTAGCACTAAAAATCAGTTTTCACTCAGTCACTCTCATCTTTTGTTGAAAATCAAATGAACACTCGTCTTGATCACAGGCTTTTGAAAATGTGTAAATCCATTTTGTATTTTTTCTTGAATTTTCAAATAGTCATAAAAACTTTTTTGGAAGTGTTTGCTAAAGTGTGCATTGTGTCCACATGATAACTGCAGAACATTCCGTCAGATAGAGATACATGTAGAACACCCCCAGTGTGATGTCACCGTGAATTATCAATCGGCTTGTGACTCCTCGCAAAACTATCCATCCAAAGCGAGAAGCCGGTGCCAGCGCCAACACAATCCCCTAAAATCTCTCTTTCTCCCCTCCTTTCTCTCTCTCGGTATTTATTTATTAACCCTTTTCAATAATTAATAATTAATGAATGAAATAAAGCTAATTGCACTGATAAATCCTGAATTGTTGTTCTTTCTGGGAGGGGCAGGGTAGGGTGGGGTGGTGGGGCACCACAAAGCATTTGTGTTCAGGGCACCCAAATGTCCAGCAACGGCCCTGATAACCACTCTGCCACAGTAACACAGGTAGAATATGCACATTCCACATATTATTAGAACCAAAATTACATAATACACTTAGACAAACTCAAATAATCCACAAGGGAAATGACTTGGACACAGTAGCTCTGACATCACATAATATAATAAAAGAAAAAATATAAATGGTAGTAACATAATAAATTCTAAATAAGCAGCAAAAATATCAAGAGACTGGTGTCAAATAATACAAAATGATATAAAATGTAAATGTACAAGTCTAAATAAAATGAAACAGAAATAAGTAATACACACACACTCTCTCTCTCTCACACACACACACACACACACACACACACACACACACAGACGCACCACATTCAGACAATGTGTGTCTCAGTCAGAGGCACTAAGTTTTCTTCACATTCTCCCATTATCAGTAAGAGAAACTCCAACACTGGCCACTTTCAAATCCCACTTGAAACAGCGGCTAAAGGAAAACCAGACTTGTGGACATTTTTAGTTTAGAACTGTCACTTGTTTTTGCTGTTTTCTCTGTTAAATTTGTGGTGTCACCTGCCGAGGGACTAGAGATGAAATGAGCATTTTGTTATAATCTGGCATATTTACACTGCAGTGTTGTAGATGTTCATTAATATGCACTGCCCCTATTAAATAAATTATAAATAAATAAATAAAATAAATAAAAATATATTTCAACATCAAAAGTTGTGACAGTAGTACCTGAAAAGCGTGTGGCGTGTCGTCCACACAGTAGACCCTCAGCCCGTAGCTCAGGGGCCCCTCCAGAGCTCCAAACACTGCCAGCTTTAGCCTCTTGACCGCGGCCTGGCTCAGCGGCTCCCCCACCAGGGCGTACGAGCCTGGTGCGTCCAACAGCAGGTGACAGCTCGCCGAGTCCATCAGGCAGTAACAGGAAGTGCACTCCTCGTCCACCGTCATCACTTCCTGTAAGAAATAAGGAGGAAAAAAATTAAATTAAATATATATGATTAGCAAAAAGGACCTGATAAAATGATTATACACAAAAACTGGAGTAAAATATTGTATTTGGAATTCCTCAATCATTCAGGTGGGTTCCATTGCAAACAATACGCTCTATAGGTGAGTTTCATTGTTGACAAAAGCGCGCGTTGCATGCTGGGAATTATTTTGGTCGGCGGCAAGAAACACTAATTCAATGACGGACGGAGCGAGAAAGCACGTAAAGGGTATTGATCCTGGTTATTTATCCACTCTAACGGCAGAGGAGCCAAGACCATTTGACCAGAAATTGGTCACAAGCATCGATGGAGCCAAATCACCCTTTTCAACCCCGACAAAAGGTGGACCAAACCAAATTTCTGGTCAGAATCGCCCAGTTTTCTCCATCTCCATGTCATTGTAGTGTTCTATTACGTTCGGCGAATCAACAGTTCCAACCATATCTCAGTTTTCATCATTTCCCCATTGACACACAACCCCGAGCACACTGGGTACATGCGATTAGAAGAGATGAGGCGACAAATTCCAGATGATTCCAAACAGCACATACGTCTGCAGTCTTCATTTTACAGCTTCAGTGGGTTTTATCAGAGTCGATCGGTGCGTCCAGTGTCGGGAACTACACCAGAAGTTGTCATTGCATGTTTCCAAACCTCTTCCAATTCTGTCAACTATAACTATAAGTTTTTAGTGAAAAATTTTGGCCCCATCCTACTACTACTACTACTACTACTACTACTACTACTACTACTACTACTACTACTACTACTACTACTACTACTACTACTACTACTACTACTAAACTACTACTACAACTGCTACTGCTACTGCTACTACTACTGCTACTGCTACTACTACTACCTAAACTACTACTACTACTACTACTACTGCTACTGCTACTGCTACTACTACTACTACTACTACTACTACTACTACTACTACTACTACTACTACTACTACTACTACTACTACTACTGCTACTACTACTGCTACTACTACTAGCTACTACTACTACTACTGCTACTACTACTGCTACTACTACTACTACTACTACTACTTAAACTACTACTACTACTACTACTACTACTACTACTACTGCTACTGTACTACTACTACAGAACTGCTCCGGCCAACAGCTCCAGCAGGTTCTGTGCTCGCTCTGACATGTTTTGCATTTAAATGGAATCGTAGGGTTGAGGTGCTCCTGTGATTTGCAAACTCTCTTCTGCACAGTTTGCAATAAACTACTAGCCTGATTCATCAGACGGTTTCACTTCGTGGAAACTGTCTGACCTTGCAGCATTAGGATTCTTTCGCTCGACGGTAAGTGGGTACTTTTTTTATTTAACCAATCGCTGCTATTTGGTCGTGATGTATGTAATGTGCCAAATCCAGTAGGAAGAAGAGCAATAACATCTTTCCCCTTGGTAAAATTCACCAAACATTCTCTTTGTTCCAGCTTTAAATCCTCGATCTCGGGAATCATGCCAACACAGAATGTCTGTCTTCGTCTACATCCATCTCGACGCTTTGTTTACTGTTGTGCTGTTCCACAAAAGGGACCCAGACAGGCACTTGAGTTTGACGTCATGGCTTCACAGCTCTTTGCTGATTGGCCAGTGTGTGGTCTACAACTTCCGGGGTTCTTGCAAACCCTCTAGTGTATTCTGATTCCTGACCTAGTCGTTGGAGAGAAATGAAATTGAGTGGAGGCACTATGTAGCACCAGCCTGGCTAATAAACTACACCTTTGTCACTACTTCCATTGAGTAGGTTTTTGAATTGAAATGTACTGTCCAACAGACCTGCAGTGCATTGTTTTTGTAGTTGGAACAGTGTGCATCAGTATAATTCTCGTACCACGACATGGTGCACTGACAAACATTCCGCATTGTTTGGCAAACTGCGATAAAATGTGTTCATATTTTTAATGCATAATTTTCTTTGTAATTAATTAAACGTAAGTAGTGTGTTAATGTCCCACGCCTATTTATTTAGTTAAGAAGCTAATGCAATCCAAATAGGAAGTGTAAGTTTGAAATGTTCCTCTCATGATCCAGATGTGCGATAGATTTACAACAGTGTGTTTTCATGTACTGGAGTTTCTGGAGTTTATTGGTTTTCGTTGAGTGATATACTGTACGACTGACATCTACATACCCCTCGTCATCTGAGCACATACAGCTGCCTCTTGTTTTCCTCCGTGTACTCTACCCATATATGGTTCCAAACCCTATGTACTACAACATGTTATGCGTGTACATCTATGCTGTAATCTTGAATTCTTTGTGAGGCAAGTCGATCCTGCCACATCTGAGGTACCAGTATTATTAAAGTTCGATCCAACCTGAGTCTGGTCCCACTCTTAAAATGTTCGTATAAACCCATTCTACATGATCCTGGTGTTTTTATTTTGCTATTTTGCCTCAAAATTTGTGCCTATAACTGCAAGCCTCATGAGCTTCATTTGACTGGAGCTGAGCGCTGTGGGTGGCGTTAAACTCCTTCAGTCTGTTTCTTTAAACAGTCTATCTGAGGCGTGCATGAATAATGCTTTGTAAAGATGTGTTTTGAAAGGCGTTATATAAATCCAGTGCATTGTAGTTTTGTTCATTGTCAAGTCTGGTGAAGTTTCATGGATTACAACTTGGTGACATGTTTATGATTTTTGTTTTAATGCATTTAGATTAGCAAATTGGCTCTCATATTTATCTTTATGTACAGGCTATAGCTTTACCCAAGTCTAAATCCCTGTGGCTAGTAATCCTCTATTTCCGAAAGGTCTACCAAATTAGGCTTAAAAAGTGTGTTTCATAACTTTAATATAATATTTTCTTTGTCCGTTAAAAGTTGGCTCTGCTTCAAAGTGCTGCTTTCAAACTTCGAGCGCTCCAGGGAATTTGCATAATAATAAATCCAGATTTTAAGTACTTAAAATGTTTTATGGGGCTTCTGCCAGGAAAAGACGCATTGTGTCCACTGATGGCGTTTTTCAGATAAAGTGGGAATCAAAATTGGACCTTGTAATCACATTTTCTTTTTCTTTTTTCTTTTTTTTTGGGGGGGATTCTGGTTCAAAAAGTAAAAAGGCAAAGGAAAATTTATAGTCAACAAGGAGTATTCCAAACTTTAAAAGTTGTTCAAATGGTACTGACAACACACAAAATTAGGTATTGTTTGCCTTTGGGAAAAAGGAAACAACAAGTAGTAAGTAAAAGTTTTCAACAAAAAGTTTGTAAGTAATGAGTCCCAAACCACAAGAGTAAATATACAGCTTTTATGATTCAAATGAGCTTGAAATATTGGAATACAGTACCAGTCAAAAGTTTGGACTCACCATCTCATTCAGTGTTTTATTTTTCTATGTTTACTACTTTTACATTTTATATACAATATATATCAAATATATGAAGCAAAATATATGGAATTATCCATCCAAACATTTTCTTCCACTTATCCAGGGCCGGGTCGCGGGGGCAGAAGTCTAAGCAGACTCCCAGACTTCCTTCACCCCGGACACTTCCTCCAGCTCCTCCGAGAGGACCCCAAGGAACACCTTCAGAGGGAGGCGCCCAGGAGGCATCTGGAACAGATGCCCGAGCCACCTTAGCTGCTCCTCTCGACGTGGAGGAGCAGCAGCTCCACTCCAAGCTCCTCACTGCTGACGCTGCACCGATCCACCTGTCAATCTCACGCTCCATCTTCCCCTCAGTCGTGAACAAGACCCCGAGATACTTGTTCACAGTCGGTCGGCGAGCCCAGTGTCAGGAAATACACAGGCTGGAAGTTGTCATCACATGTTTCCAAACTCCAAAATCGTCCTGGTTTGTGACAGAAGTGTGAATAGGACCTATTCCAGGTCTGAAATCATCCAAATGTTTCTACTGAAGGTGTATGGAGTTTAAAAACACAGTGGAGCACTGCCTGTATTATCACATGACATCTCAAGGTGGAACAGCGTATTTTTAGTTTGAGAGAAGTTTTGTATGTTAAACATGTGTGAATGAAACAAAACAACTCCAGGTACGATTTATGATGATGAAACAACGATATAACATATTTCTAAAAGTCACATAATATGGGCCCTTTAAGTAAACATTAGCTACAGCACCTTTAATTACTGGACTATAATTGTTATGTGCCACGAGCTAACACTTCACCAAGTTAACCATTCATATGTCTTGTCCAAAGTGTTACGAAAGATGGTTCCTGTTTCCTCAAAATCTCCAAGAAACCCTTCACGAACACTGCACAAATTGGTTGAGTCTCGAGGTCAAAAAGTCTAAAACTACATCCCAAAGTTAAAGCACAAAAGAGTGAACGAGAGGGGCCCATGTTAGCGCAGTACCAGGCCTGTGGGACATTTTGCCCTGTGTACTTTGATAATCTGTGAGGAGGATGCATTGGACACTCTTGGAGATTAAACTGTAATTCTCTGGAGGTCACTCAAACAGACTAGACTCATGTCACGGTCAAGAGTCCAAGCTCTTTCCCGCTACAAATGTTTATCTAACCCTGGTTCAGAAGCCAAATACTCCAAATGTCTGTTATTGCAGTTATTTTGACAAGAAATCTGACTTAAAAAGCAGGTATTATGCAAATTCAAAGGTTTTCTACTGTGTTCTCTCATCAAAAACATGCCAGAAAAGGTTTTACAGTCGTCCCTCGCTATATCGTGATTCACCTTTCACGGTCTCACTGTTTTGCTGATTTTTTTGGTGCAATTTTGCATGCTTTTTTTTTTTTTTTCTTACAGCGTATGAGTGCGTATTGTGTTCCTGCGTCCTGATTACGGGCGGGTATGCGGGCGGGTAGTGATTACACACGGGTGGGTCAGGACTACACCGGGACTAAACCAGGACTAAACCAGATCTAAACCAGGACTAATCTTGGACTTAAGAGAGAGAACTCCCAAGCAAATCGGCAAAGTGCGATCAGGCATTTCCCGCGATTTACTACTACTG